GTAGGTTTCGATTCAATCAGTAATTTCTGAATAAATTTTTATCGCTTGAGTTTATTGAAGGACTGATAGTTAACTTACATAAAAATGAGATAAGTATGCCTATGGATGCCAACAAATTTCCCCTGTGATAGCATTGCAGGGTCAAAGGTATGTGTTTTGGGGGAGAGATGTAGCTGTTCGGTCACAATTGCATCCGTTTCACGCTTCATTCAGGGGCCACTTAACTTTTGAGCAAACATTTGGACAAAGCATAGGAGATCGAATCAAAACATGAGATGCCTAAGTAAGTGTATCAAATTGGATCATAAGAAATAGGTAGGTTTGAAGCCAGCTACCTTTCTTACCTTCGTGTTTTGGTGAATTATCCTAGAGCATAATGGCTTGCTCTGACGATGTCCGTCACATGACAATTAAAGGATTAGTAAGGATTAATCAGAGTTGAAGAGCTATTCTCATAGCTCCAAGGCAATCCTCAAGCAGCTTCCGGTGAGACCAACTTACAAATCTATTCCACTCGCCTCTTCAAAGGAAATAAAAGATACTCCAAAATCGAAACAGAGATAGTTTGAGCAGCCAAATCAATATTACAGTTACTGGAGCAAAAGGCAAGGAGTTAACCTAGCCTAGGATTGGGTGAATCAAACTCACCAATGGGTAAGAATAAATACTGACAATTAACTAATAAAAATTCTCATCTTATCAGTATTTCGCCACCAAAGTCACTATTTGATATAGATTCTAACCCAGCCCTGAAATGCGAGATAGCACTCGCTCCTGGGTCTACAACTAGGGCTCTAATGCTCCATGGAGAATTGGCTAAATTGATATCAAAATTGTATTGTATTATATAAAAAACCATATGAAATATGAATTATAGTTAAGCTCAACCGCAAATAAATCCTTGAAGGCCATTATCTAAACTGATTATCAGCAGCTATTGCATCCAAGAGATGAATAAATTGTCATGATTTATTGTAACGACACCAGATTACAAGTAACCAATAGTTTAAGATGAAATAATCAAGATCAGAATTATTGAAACCTAGCATATAAATCAAACAAGCATACAACTGATCCATACTCGAACTAAATTTTAATTGATTTAAGTTGTGCATTCGAGAATTGTTAATGTAAAATAAGACCAAGATATTCTAGATTAACCATAATTGAGCAAGTAGACTATGATGAAAACAAATAATTTATGTTACAATATGATCATTTATATCTTGCCTCCTCCCAACTCCAACTTTTCTCTTGAGATATCCCTTTTCGAGTGTATTCTTCCAAAGGTGGATCAATCAGGATTGTATCAAATTGACTACCGAGTTGGCATAGATCAAAAGTAGAAAGATCAGCACGAAGATACATGGGAGGAGTAGCACGCTCAACAATCAGAGCATCTTTCAGCCTGATCAATTCTCGTAGTTTGGGATACTCTTCAAACCGATTTTTTAGACCTATTAAGTTAACACGAATTAAGGATACAATGAAAATATCTGAATATTTGCTCGAATTATGCGTACCGATTATATGAGGAAAATAAAAAATAATAGGAAACGAAATTAATCACCTGTATCACGTATAAAATTCTGCGGGCGCTCACCAGTGTCTACAAAGTGTTGTGAGTAATCATTATGAGGATTTGCACTTTGAGTACCCTTAAGAAAAATAAAAGAGTATAGATATATGAGATAACAGGCAAAATCTAGATAGCATTCGAGCAACGATATATAAAAGATAAATTCCAAGTTGGACCCACTTTTAGGAAGGTCGAAGATCCCGTAAATTGCTTCTCTGCAAGTTCATCATCATTTTCATTTGGACAACCGTCCCTACAAGACTTTTTTATATCTACATCTGATTCTGTGTTAAGCCTAAAACTAGAAAGTGAAGATTGAGGACCACCAAATGGCGCTTGGGATATCTTGCTCGGATAGTTTAAAGCCAAACAAAGCGATGGCGATAAAGATGGAGAAGAAAGCATTGGAACGACGGGCCTGAATGCATGATGAACTAAAGCGAAAAACAATGCCTACATAACTATCCTCTTGCGACATGCATGTTCATTAAAGGGAGCCCTCAGACAACGACCAAGCATTCG